CCAAAACTGAAGAAGGACAAATAAACCAATCGAGCTGTAAATATGATACACTTCATCTGTCTAGGAGAGAGAGATGTGGTGGATGAAACAGGTTAAAATGAGCTATGAGATATGAAAAAATCAATGATCAAAACTGTGGTGGAATGGCTCAAATGACGCCGGCGTATGAAACAGCCGGAAAAGCTCGACTTTACTTCCGTGTAGAGAATAATCGCCTAGCGCATAGTAATTGTTTGGGTGGAGGAGTTGACTTTAAAAAATTGGGAGGGAGAGAGAGTAGAGAGGGGAGTAGTAGGTTAATGCAGACACTAAAGGGGGAGGAAGAAGAAGAAGAAGAAGAAGAAGAAGAAGAGGAAGAAGAAGAAGAAGAAGAAGAAGAAGAAGAAGAAGAAGATGATGATGATGATGATGATGATGATGATGATGATGATGATGATGATGATGATGATGATGATGATGATGATGATGATGATGATGATGATGATGATGATGATGATGATGATGATGATGATGATGATGATGATGATGATGATGATGATGATGATGATGAGAACAGTGAGGTCAAAGCAGCAGTTGGAATTTGCCTTGTAGGAATGCAAAGGGAATGAAAAAAACGCTAAATTGGAAAGTGGACGGCAGGCGAGTTCACGTCTCAGTCGAAGGCCCTCCAAACGTACGCCAAAAACTTACATCCTGCTCGGAATTTCTAAGGCAGTTTCGCAAGTGGAGGCCTATTGTATGCAGATAAATTAATATTTCAACTAGTCCAACTCTTGCGCCTGCTACTAAATTTGATTTTCGACTGCTGCAAGGTTTGATGAAATCCGCGATCTCTCCCGCTCCTATCAAGTCTCTGCACAGTGGGTAGTTGCCTCTTTAGGGCGGGGCATCTTAGCAAATGTTTTAAATTTACCCTGGATGTACCAAAGCAGTGCTTTTGTTCACGAGTAGACGGAAGGTCTGACGCTTGATCTACTGTCAAATTGCCCCCTTTGTCTTGAATGGTAAAAAGGCCTTTGACACATAAATACCATGGGTAGGTAGCAATTTTCACATTCTGAAGCGACTTATAATTATATACGACTCTTGACATAAGTGACTCGATGCCCCTGTTTACCAGAACTGCTACGGATTTATAGTGTTTTTGGAGGAACAGACCATTTTCTTCCATAGACGCGAAGATAATATTAGGTTTTTGCCCAGTGAGACCCCTCTCTTACAGCTCCGCCGATCGTTATTTGCTGTGGTTTTCGGCTGACTTTCATAATGTACAGTAGATGTGCTAACTCATGAAATGTCAACCAAAATTTTGAAATGCACTCTCGTTTCGAAAAGATAAATTAAGTAGTGTTGTAAAATTAATTATGATACAGCATGCAAGATTTATACTCTGCAAAAAATGACAACTTAAGTAGTATGCAATTTTCTTATTGATCTTCGATGCCCTTGAAAATTCAGTTATATTTCATGGAAAACATGCATAAAAATATTCATTCTTTTACTTATTCGGTAGAAAATCACTTCTTCTTCCAATTTCATACTCAAAAGAAGAGCATAATTCGGTTTTTAGAAAGTTTCTAATTGTGAGATGTTTTAATACCGTTAAATGGCCGTTCATGAAACGTCATGTATCTGCATTTACGAATGTGGCTTGTAAAGTGAACAATATTGCTCAAATCCACTGCTTAATCTTATGAACCTCATATGGTCTTCTCTTAACACTGTAGAGAAATGCATGGTTCTCCGTACACGGAAAATATACAGCTTGTAGTTTTGAAACCCTGAATGCATGTGTAACAGTAGGTCGGGTTCAAAATTATTCGGGAATTAGAAAAGTTTTTAAAACCGAATTATACTCCTATTTTGAGTATTAAATTGGAAAAAGACGTGATTTTCTACCGAATAAGTAAAAGAATGAATATTTTTATGCATGTTTTCCATGAAATATAACTGAATTTTCAAGGGCATCGAAAATCAATTAGAAAATTGTATACTACTTAAGTAGTCATTTTTTGCAGAGTATAGCGCTTGCATGCAGCCGAAGGGAAGTTCTTTCGAAAGCCTAAATCCTGAGGTAACTGGATTATTATAGAATCATGTTTCCTAGGGAATCCACAACCATAGAAATTTCTCCTGCAACTTTCTGAGTCATGATTACTGCCTTGGCCCTGAGTGCTTTGTACAAGACAACTACTGTATTCTTTTAAAGTTTGGGCGGAAAGTACCATCAGAGCCTTCAGTAAAGTCCTCAGGACAGGCATTCCGAGTCGTTGCTCGGAAGTAAATCGCCTTCGATATTAATAAAAGGGTAATGGTTAACACCCATCGGGGAACAATCGGCAATACCCGTCATCAGTTAACCATACCTAACCCAAGGTTTGCAACCCCAAGGCTCGACTCCGCGACCTGTTGGTTAGAAGTCCAACGCCCCTAACCATCGAGCCCCAGGTTGGCTGTCCTGTCGGCTGCGATTGGATATGCACAACGGTAGAGGAGCATTCACCGATCGCGTTACGGTTTTTGGCTGGACTCGAGATTGAGCTCCAAGGCACGAGGGGACAGGTGTGCCTCGTAACGCGGTTGGCGAGCACCCCTCTACCATTATAGATATGTACGCATTAAAAAGGAGAAGGTTCTCTGGAAAGCAGAGCTCTGTTCATGAATCTTGTATATGTATACATGTGTATATTGTATGTATATTGTGTTCATCATCCCCCAAAGAAGACGAAGAAGAAGAGACGAATTTATTGACTGACGTTTCGGAAACCCTTTCGTTTCCATCATCAGAGTAATGTGCTGGCTGTTCCTGCTGGCCTTGATTGCTTCGGGCTTGATACCTGCCTGGTATTATATCCGTACTCGAAGCACGAACTATGACCTGCCCATTCGCTGCTGATTAATGTTGACCTTCCCGATATTGACCGCCGGTGGGCTCGTTTCACCTCTGACCCCTTTGCGGCCGTCGTAATTGTTGGCAAATCGACATGGTTTTTAGCCTCCTCCTCGTCACCCAACGGACTGATCAGTTGTTGGGGCTCGTGTGAGTTTATCACAGTCTCATGGGCGTCGCGGGGAGGTGGTTTCCCGCGCTTGTCACGGGACCTCCGGCCGACTTCTGCCCTATTTCCCGCTGGCATCAGCTGTCGGCCAGGCGTGATTTCGCTCGACTGCCCCAGTGGCCTTATCCGTGCTGACATGAGCCGTGTGCGTAGCGCCCCGTAGGCGGAATGGAGACCTATGGCTCCGTTAAGTGTGTCACTCGTGAACCACCTTTCGAGCATCAGTCTGGTCATCTTATTATTGGCTCGGCCGATTACCCTCGCTTTCTCAAGAGCGAAATTGTGGTTCTTATGTTACACGTGGTCCTAAATCATAAACAGCTTGCCCTTGCGGTTGATGGAAAGCTAGTACTCATGCAGTCTTATGCCAAGGAATTTTCCCGTTACACCAACATACCTCGCATCACAGTTTTGGCATGGTATGCTGCAGACTACCGTCGATTTTTCTGACACTGGCAGCTGGTCTTTCCGCCTCATTATTTACTGTCTGATTATGGACTCTGACTAATGGGCCACATCGATCCCGAACGACTTCAGGATCCTTGCCGTCGCCTTTGATACGCTCTTCACATAAGGAATTGCAAGCCAGCACTTCGGGTTTTCTCCATCCGACCGCTCAAAGTGGGTCTTCCTAAGATACTAGCGTATGAAGGACTTCGGATAACAGTTGGCTTTAAATAGGGAATGCAAGTACTCAACTTCCTCCTTCCTCCCACTGTCGCCGCTGCAGTATGTTTGAACGCATTAGAAGAGGATTCTGATACGACTGTGCTTTCGACCACCGTGGTGATTGCTTCTGAAATGGAGGCTTCGCCTGGTATTAGTTGTCTTACGGTAGTCAATTGTCCTTATTTTCCGTCTTCCAGCTTTGTCACTTGTACTTCAAGGAAGGCCAACTGATTGTTGAGCTCCTCTTCCATAGAAAACTGGATGTCGGGAAAGACTGAATTCAACAGTGCCTTGAAAGTCTGCCCGTTGCTCCATTTGAGGATGAGGAAAGTGTACATGAACTCGTCCGTTCTTCGGGAGATTATGAAGACAAAAAGATATTTGGACCTCGAATCCTCACGCATACTGATATATGTATATATGCGTATATTATGGTGGAGGAGTATTTGCCGACCAGGTTACGAACTTTGCTCGCTTCGTTGAGCCTTGGAACTCGCAGGTAGTCGCATAGCGGCTAGGTCTATAGGTAGATGAAGTGGTGTCGACAAATACAAGGGGGACCCGGATGCTCATTTCTGATCTATTAGCTGTGATGAGCAATTCATACCTAATCCCAGGTGTGGATTACTCGAGCTTCGAAACCGGCATCTTTTGTCATTGAGCATAACACTTTACCATATATTTATATAAATTAGAAACTAATATGTCCTTTGGGAAATTTAACAAACTCTTTTCCGTAAATCTTCGACACGGGTTATCTAGGCCGTCTTCAGACGTGGCAGATATGCAGGACAGTCAAAATTTTTAAAAATGCCTAAAATCCGATACTGCCCCCTTCATTCCTGCCATTAATTCGTGGCCTGGGTCGACATCTCGGGCTGATTGGCCGTCGCCACTACCATATTTCCCTGAGATTGTTGTGCATGACGTCTAGTTCAGTGTACCGGTGAATGCATAATTCATGGGGATTTATGGCCTCCAAAAATGCTTAGCCTTTCGTAGAAGGACAAACATCGCCAATGTAAGTGTTGTCCTGGGCAAATTTGTGGCCAGATTTCAGCGTATGCATGACAACTTGGGACAAGTGGTTTTGCCCATTCACGGCCACTTGATGTTCCTGTAGGCGCGTAAGGGGCGACTTTCTGGTCTGAACACAGTATACTGCTTTGCAGGTGTCACACTGAAGCTTGTAGACGACTGCCTTCTTACCAAAATAGCTAACCCTATCCTTAGAACGTACGAACTGGTTGCGTAATTTGGTAGTCGGTTTGTGCACTACTTGTGCCTGATTTTTCCTCAGATGTTTTTCAACGAGTCCTGACACGTTTTAAATGCGCGAAAGTGTTCTCCAGGTTTTTTGTTCCGGAGTTTGTTGGAAAAATGTAGATTCTTGTCTTTTATTTTAACGCCTGTTGTCTCATGCAGAGGTGTGCGGAACCTCCAATATATCCATTTTTGAGAAGAATCTGAAAAACTAATTAAATTTTATTTGCTAACTATTGTTGTCTGAGCAGTGTTTTTGCTCGATTACGTAGGCTGGTGACAGCATTCCGTTTGTGGGCATTAGGGTGGTTACCATTGTAATGTAGAACAACGTCCGCATAAGTGTCCTTGTGGTAAATGATGTATGAAATGTCCCGTCACGCATTCACTGTAGGAGGACGTCAGGGAAAGGGAGTTTACTGTCAACCTCTTTTTCGGGCGTAAACGAGCTTCCTGGTAGTGTTGAGTTAATAATACTATGGAGAATTTCCAGGTGTTCCCCTTTAACGACAACAAAAGTGTCGTCAGTAGAAGGGGCGCTCACCGATCGTTTCTACGGAACTCACTCGTCCTGTTATGCATTACGGGCTCTCTCTCGAGCCCAACCAACGGCGCCT